TATCGTGTCAAACATTGCTTAACTGCATTTGCCTCCTGTGTATTTGCTTTAAAGAATAATAAACTGTCATCAGCAAAAAACAAGTGAGAAATAGAGGGTGCACCCCTTGCGACCCTGCACCCATGAATTGTCCCCTTAGCCTGTGCTTGTTGTAATAACAAAGAGAGCCCTTCTGCACAAATAATAAACAGATATGGAGACAAAAGATCTCCTTGTCTTAGCCCGCGGGTCAGGGTAATAGGCAAACTTCGGGATCCATTCAACTTGATATTATAAGACACAGTGGTTACGCATAGCATGATAAGATTCACCCATGTACTATCAAAACCCAATGCTGTTAACATATTACGAGGAAGGGCCACTCCATACGGTCATATGCTTTTGCCATATCCAGCTTTAAAGCACCCCACCCCACCATACCACATTGTTTCCTGTTTAAGTAATGACCAACTTCTGCAGCAATCAAAATATTATCTGTAATCAATCTGTCAGGTATAAATGCACTCTGCGTATCAGAAATAATCTCATCCATCAACGGTTTCATCTTGGCCATAATCATTTTGGCCATGACCCTGTATATCACATTACTTAATGCTATGGGCCTAAGATCTGAGACCCGCTCTGGGTTCTTCTTCTTCGGTATTAGAACTATATCAGTATCATTCAAGCTGGTCGGGAAGGACCGCGTATTTAGACAATCCACAATAAAATCCGACACATCCCCTCCCATCACATCCCAAAAATGCTGATAAAAACCCGGATTCATTCCATCTGGGCCAGGTGCCTTGTCCGGAAACATGGCAAACAGTGTCGCTTTTACTTCGGCCTTCTCAAATGGGCGCAATAGGGCATCATTCTGTGTTTGTGATACTCGGGGCAAAACATTGGCATAAAAATTTTCATCCATTTCGGCTTGATTTGATGAGAAAATATCTTGATAATAATAAAAAATAGTAGTCCTCATGGCCTCTCCCTCCACCCAATCCCCATTATCATTCATAATTTTAGAGAGTGTATTTTTCTTTTTACGGTGAGAGGCATACCTGTGATAGAATTTCGTGTTCGCATCTGCCCTTTAATCGTGAAACTCTTCTATTGTAAATAAAGAAAAAACAAAGAACATGCAAAAATCAAATTCCAGTGGAAAGAGGAGACGGACGAACTCGTGTTATGCTTAAAATCACCTAATGATTCCTTGTGCTGTTCTTGAAGTGAATGAATTATTTGAGGGGATGAGAAATATAAGAGTACTCTCTGTTTCTTTTTCACTTATGTAGGTATATATTTACTCTTTAATTTTCCTTCTCTTAATAAATCATGGATTCACATATTTACTCATGTACTTGGTGGAAGAAATATAGGTGAAAAGACAAGTTTGCATTCAGATTTAACGCCCCTTTAACAACAAACTTAACAGAGGATCACATGTGGTTATTTTTTAAAGTCGGATGACCACAACTGGTAAATGACTAATACTCGGAGGACCATTGGAGGTATTAACTCATGAATATATATATAGGAGAATAGGAATTCAATAGCATTCAACATGGCATTAACACTGATATTAAATCAGTCAAAACACATATGTAACAGCTGACCATTAAAGGTGAGAATTAATTTTGGAATTATTTCGAAATTAATCCCTGAATTAAAACTCTTAACGGTCCAGACGAGAGGTACGATTCTGCCAGAGCCAACGAATCGTCCCATCCGACGAGAGGTGAGCCGTCAACGACTCTTGCTATTAGAATCGATCTAACGAACAATTCTTGTCGACACAATTCTGGGAAAATTATACAGAAATTTAGCATAGCTTAGCCCACAAGGCCTAAGCCAGCCAACTCACTTTGGGATTTGATTTGCATCCTCCTGCGCGCAAAAGAGAGCCTCTATGCTATACAATTCAATAAGTTTTAGAAAGGCTCTTGTATAAATAGTGGTGCAAACCCACCACTTCTCAAACCAATGTGAGACAAAAGTTACTTTAAAGCTTTACCCTTCATTTTTCCAACTCAAATTGGTCTACTTTGATAATCAATATCTCATTCACCCATTATCCGTTTTAAGCCTACAATATATCAATCTTTTCGTCTCATTATGAAGAACTCGAATCCACTTTGACGCGACCCAAATCGGAAGTGAACCCACTAATAATTGTATCACAAAATAACCACTTAAAATGTGATTTTATGTTTTTTTTTTTTCCAACAAAATCTAGGCAAGCAATCCAAATTCAACACAATAGTGTTGACAAAACAATGAAGGAAAATGCAAAACAATGGAGGAAAAAGTCAAGAATTCATGCCAGGATTTTTTTGTTGTGCCAAGAAACAATTTGTTGCTGCTGAGATTAAACAAGAATCCAGAACACGCTGCCACCCTAATTGTTAGTCACTGACTGGAATTAGCTGCTGCCAGACCAGAATTCGTCGGAAGAAAATTGTTGTACGCAGAACAATGCTGTCAAACGAAAGCTACCACGAAATTGACTTCGGAGGAATTTCGCATCACCGATCAAAATTTTTCCATAATCTCTAATTGGTCGCCTTTTTCGGTGACTTGCTAGCAGGGCCGATTTTTGATTTTGATGGCCCAGTGCTTGTACATAAATGAGGCCCTATGTAATTTTTTATTATTTTTTTGTTTCTTACGTTTTTTACATTCAGATTTATATATATATATATTGAAAATTTCAGATTTATATTTTCTAATACCTGGAGCCATAGTAATAATAATATACAAATATGCAATTGAAACCAAAATTACCAAACAACAATACCCACTACACAGGTACAGTACACTGAGTACAGACTACGGAGCAAGTCAGCAAACACATTACACTCAATACACTGTAAAAGTAAAAATTTAAAATTAAAGATTTATAAAGTAACTAAGTAAAAAGGATTGAAACAACCTGATTGGAAAGCCTCAAAGCTCTTATTATTCCTTGAATCTTTGTTGATTTCATGATTTGCTTGGTCTCATACTCTCATGGTATTGGTCTTCTAGACTGCTACAACGCTACGGAATGTCGGAATTGGGCCGTTTTCCGTTTGGGGAAATTTGCGATAGTGCGATACTACCGTCTGCCGCTCAGTGCCTCAGCCTCGCCCCTTAGTCGCTGCGAAATCGCCGTCCGCTGCGAAACCGTTAGTATCGCAAATTTTAAATACGGAAACCGCTGCGAAACCGTCGAGAACTCCGTTCGAGCTTCCTGTCTCTGTCTTCCTCTAAAATTTTAAATATTTGATTCCTATCATCCTATGTCTACTGATTTTAGTGTTCTACCGCTCTCAAACTTCTCAGTGCTCTGCGCCTCTGCCAATTGCTAAAGAAGATTAGAAGACGAAGAAACTCAAGTACAACTATAGAAGAAAAACTAAAGTTTTTTTTTTTTTTTTTTTTTTTTTTTTTAAATGTTGGGGAAGGCCGGAATTAGCACCCATCATGGTGACTCAACTGAACATGAACCATAGAGGTTAGACCGATGATCACGACTCGATCTCTGATCATTCTTCCAAAATTTCACCTCTATGACCAGTTGAGCTACCAATGCGGGCAATTATTTTATTATTTATGTTTAGAGAACTGATACGTTTTAGATATTTAGTCTTTCAGGATTAATTATAAATTATTTATTTATTTATTTCTTAGGTAGAAATTAAATATTAGCCTATTGGCCCCTAAAATTTGGGGCCCTGTGCTGTTGCCGGCCCTGCTTGCTAATCGCATTATTGATGGATTTTTTCTAGAGGTCATCGGAGCTCTACTGATGTATTATTGATTTATTGATATGCTATTGCAGGTTACTATTAGGTTTTTGGGTTTTAATGCACTAAATTAATATGTGGTGTGTAATTGTAATTTTTAAAAATTTGAAGATTTAATTGACTTCTCATATAAAGCTTGATGGTATATTTCACCATTTTCCCAATATACTATGAACTTTACAAAATATAGCCTAAATCTTTTTGCAAATAAGTGTTTTTTTTTTTTTTTTTTATAATGTACTAAAACTTATACTCAGTAATTCATAAATCATAATTTCCAAACAGACCTTTGGGGTCCGTTTACTAACAGAAACTATTTTATGTTTTTTGTTTTGTTTTGTTTTGTTTTGTTTTTTTTTTTTTAAATTTCAGTTTTAATTATCTATTTTCTTTTTAGAAAACTTACTTACTAACACTTATTTTTTCAATTTATTTTTTAAATTAAGCTATAAAATTAACACAAGTTTAATTTTCGAGTGATTTTTAGACCTTATATTTAAAATATTATAAAATATACTTGGTTTAAATAGAATAAATATAATTTTTTACTTTTAAGTCCAATACATGTAAGATTTTTACATTTGATATCCGAACCAAATTTATATTTGTATATAACATAATTAAAAATATATCCGAACCAATAACCTATTAAGTTCATCTAAATTTTAGTTTAGATAATATTAATATTTTTTTGAACTAATATTTAAAATAATTTTGGATATATTAATTTGAATGACATGTATATGTATATAAATATATAATTTTTACTTTGAATTCTAATATAGTAATATATGTAAAATTTCAATATCCAATATCCGGACTAAACTTGTATTACGATATACCATAACTAAAAATATCCGAACCAATAATCAATTAAGCTCAATCAAAAGATAAAATTTGATATAGAATTCAAATTTTTTATTTTGATAATGTGAATAATGTCTAAATTTAAACATAAACAAATAAATTATGTTTAAATAAGTAATGCAAGAAAAAAATATAGAAGAGGGTGATAAGTAAAAGAAATGATAATGAGTGCGATCATAGTAATGAAAAAATATGTAAGTAGATAATGGTGAGAATGTGATATAGTAATAGTTAGTAGGTGATTCTATTTTTATTTTAAAAATAATTTTTAACAGTTTTTCAAAAAATTGTTTCATGTTTTCAAAATAAAAAATTGTACTAGTAAATATGTTTTTAATTTTCTGTCCCCCCATTCTCCAAATCTCCAAGAAATTTTCTAGAATCCTTCAAGACAAGCTGCCCACAACAAACTTGCATTCGGATTAATTTCCTGCGCCTTCTGCTCCTGTTTCTTCAATTCTTCTTTCCGTTATCCTTTCTTCCACGTTTTTACCCGCATCCTTCTCTCTCCGCGCCTTTCCTTCATTACTCCATCATATTCTCTCTCTCCTGTGTCTCTGCTATTCTTTCTGTGAGCAATGACAAATGATCTGATTCTTCCGTCCGAATGTGCCGCGCCGCCGGCGTCATTCGTCGTCGCTGCTGTCTCCAATGATGACGACTGCACTATTTGTCTGGAGCCGTTCAGCTGCCGCGATCCACGCACTGTACGTTCTCCATTTCTCGATGGAAGCTACATTCCCCAAAACTAAGTTTTCATTTTCGTTGAAAATTGTTTCTGAAAATCAATGGGGGAAATAAATTCTCAAACTCTGGTGAAGAAAGAAAGGTTGCACAGATCATTTTCTAGGTGGTACTGAATCATCTTTTATGTTCACTTCAATGTATCAAGTCTAATTATGTTTCTACATTGGTTAAATATCAATTGTCCTATGTATTTGCAAGGAAATCTGTGATTAAATAAATTTTGTATTATTTGGAGTTAGCTTCAATTCACCTCTCTATTATGCTGGTTTCTTTTCCAGGTCGCCGAGTGTACGCATGGCTATCACTTGCAGTGTATACTTGAATGGTATGCTCGCTTTGTGACTATTGCTGCTTAAACTAACTAGTCGGATAGCTATTATTTTAGTGTGGTAGTTATTTCATTTTACTTGTCTCTTTTCTGTACAGGTCTCAAAGAAGCGAAGAATGCCCTATTTGTTGTAGGCAGCTTGTCTTGAAGGATTCTGCCAGGTACTTGAAATGCTTTGCTGCAAAAATGTCATGATACTCGAAGCAAATGTTAGGATCAAGTGTTTATCACTACACCAAAAGTTATAGTTCACAGCGAAAACACAACTTTATTTCCTTATATACCGCTACCACATTTTCAATAGGCAGACTTGATCCTTTACCAATCTCCGCCCAACAAACCCCCTAGCCACCAATTGCTAGACTTGACCCTTCACCGGCCTCTCCCCAACAAATCATTTTCTTGTTTGAGTGAACAAAATTGTGCATCACACTTTCAATATCACGCTGATGTCTTTTCAAACTCACTCTCTCTTTAAATTAACTTTCCAGCCAAGAACTGTTAGCTGCAGTGGAGTTTGAGGGGAATGCAACATCAAGACACATTGAACATAGAATTCCTGAAGTATATGAAGCCAACAATCTGGTTGATGTGGTAAGATTTGAGAGAAAAATCTATACATCTGTTGATTACTATTGCAACATTTCAACTGAGCTTGAATTTCCCCTCCAGGGTGCTTCTCACATTGATGATTCTGATTTTCAAGAGAGGATTCTGCACCATCCCTCCGGCTCAGGCGTTACCAACAGAGCATGTTCTGGTAACAGTAGGAGAAGGCAGATATCTTCAAGAGTTGGTCAGGGATCTTTTCCTGTTGGAGCTAGTTCAGATATGCACCAAGTGACTCAAAGGCCAGTTGATGAATTTGGGAATGGTCTACCGGCTTCTGGGATTTCATCTACATCTTCTTCAGGCGTTTCATCTGTTGCAAATGTAGCATCTGGTGCTGCTGTCTACAAAGGTGGTTCAGTTGGCCTCGGGTATGCTCTAACCACCTAGCCCATCAACTCTATTTTGTACTAACATATCACTCTTGCATTCATCCACATATGCTCTTAATACTATATTTGGTAGTTACGAAATGCAATAACTTATGAATGTTGCAGACTGTCTTACCCATACACATGCTTTCATCTTGATGACATTCTCTTAACTGTTTCCCTTTGCAAAATTTCTGCCCTTTTTGTTGTTTGTTCACTGCATAATCTTTTCTTTTTCAGCAAACCATCACCTGAGAATCCCCAGAAACAAAGCCCACCTGAGTTTCTTCACCTTCCAGGGTCTATAAAATCTAAATTGTTTGATGCTTCACCCAGGTAAAGGAGTTCCAATTTGGTTTTATTTCTTTTCAATATATTGTTTTTTTTTCTTTCACTGAAAGGTCCCGTGATTTGCTCAGGTACAATGAATCATTCTCTAAAAACACGCAAAGGTTCAAACGGAAATTACAAGCTAATAATAACTCTGTCAAGGAACTTGGCAGAGAAGTGCAGCGTGAGATGAGTGTAAGCATTGCTGGTTTGGCCAAAATGGTTGAACGACTTGATCTTAGCTCAAACAAGGGTGGTGGTGTTTCAAGTCCTCTACGCTACACAATGGGAAGGGAACCTCAAACTTTAGGCAGAAAGGAAAACCTCAGCAAGAGAGTATAATTCCTAAGTTGCATGATGTTTATAATTGGTAATAATCATCTACAAGGAGGACTAATAGAACCCCATTATTCTCCAAGACTCCAACATAATTCCAAGTCAACCCTGAAGGTTCTGGGGGGCAGGTATACAAATTTTTGTAGTAAAAATCTCCAGTTCAAATCTTGAAGAACCTCCATATTGTTGTTATTTCAATAACTTGGAGATGCCTGGTTTTTTCTCCAAAGTTTTAGAACAGTTTCACCTTTTATTTATTTATTTATTTTTTCTAAATATGCAGTTGTACAAAGCATCAAGTTATTTGGTGTCAACTAGCTAATTTTTTTCTTCATATAAATGGTAATTATTTGCAACAAAGTTGGGAACCCTATAGGCTTTAGCAGAGCATACCAAAGCATTGCAATTACAAAGCCAAGGGACAGTTATGAATTTGGGAGAAGCACACCCCCAGAAACCAATAGACTAGTATTTGCCCTTCCGTACGACTAGACAAAAGCTCATTATTAATTAAAACTGCAAATAAAACAGACTCTAGATCTGTCCCAAGATGACATCGCCACCAGATACCTTGAAATCAGATGGAGCCTGTTCAACATTGAGAACCTTGACCTGTCCATCAACTATGTATGCAGACCACCTGTTCAGTAACGAAAAGAAGAGTTAGAATGCCCCCCCCTTTTTTTTATGGGAGCTAATGTCCTTTAGAATACATTCATATATTATAAATGCTGGAGTGCATAGGCAAGCAGTTGCCAAATTAGTCCAAGGACAGAGGATGCAAAATGATATTTAATGACTCATTTTATACCTATGGGATCGTATTCCGAGCAAAGCACCAGAGAGATCAACTGTTAAGTCCAAGCTCTTGTGAAAACTCCCATCAAAATCACCATAGAACTCAATCTGTACAACAATATCATAAATCATCAGACCTGATTAGTACACAACATGAATAAACATCTTCATTCTCACTTATGCGCAGGGTCAAGTGAATTAGTTTGCTTCAGGTTGTTCAATCATTCATATATATTCCAACTCAAACTAGATCAGATAAATAGATGAACATCAGATAGATCCTTGTTTTGATGGAAAATAAATTACTTCAATGAAAGTTTCTGGAGAACTAAACTACTAGAAGAGGTGACACTGACAGCACTTGGTAACAGAATATTTGAATAATGTGTTCAGCTACTAGAATATTCATTGAAATCAACCTTGAGCCTGAATCGTGACTCCACCTTTATTCTTTCTCCTTCCTCCCTTATAAAAAAAGGGAAAGAAGAGAAAAGAGAAAAGAGAAAAGAGGGGGGAAGTTTTACTCAAGGATACTTGATCGTATCTCTAGTCTTCTTTCCTTCCCATATAAATAACTAGAATGAAAAAAAGGGGAATGTCAATGCAACCAGAAAAAACCGATTAATCTCTATCAATGGACCTGCTGCTAAAGCCCCGAACCATAGCGTACTTAGTACTGGTGCCACGGAGAGATATGTTTTAAAATATCGCATCGAAACCCTCCTTTTTTATTTTATTATTGTATAATTTATTGTATTGTAATTTAATTACTTGTAATTCATATATAATGCATATATGGTCAGATACATATGTGGGTAAGGACTAAGGACCACTTATCAACCCTAACATCACAGCTTTCAACTCTTGGCCTAAAGAAAGAAATGAATCAATTGGAAACTCAATGCTATTAGCACTGAACTTGTGGATTTAGAGTCAAGAAATAGCCACGTATAATTTCTAACATGTGGTAAAATATTATAGAGCTTAAATGCCTCAAGTTCCTGTTGAAGAGCGGGAACTTATTGGATTACAATTTATAATATTTTCTATAAACAACTCATGACAGAAACTCAAATAGGTAACTTACAGCATCTTTAGCTTGAAGCTTCTCTGCCCAGCCATTCATTGTATATGGGTCATTGACAGCTACACAGATCACCGAGTCAATTCCTTTGGCCTTGAACTTATCAATGTTAGTCTTGTAGCTAGGCACATGTTGGGCTGAACAAACCCCGGTGTATGCACCCTGGAAGATGATACAACTTCATAGTAAATGTTTCTGATCCATAAGAAGGGAGGAGGAGGAGGGGCTTGCGGGGTAAGTGAAAGGTAGCATGTTTGTTCCCTTTTTGAGTCTTAATAATGCAGATAGTTTCATAACAAGACCTCCTACAATCCACATACTGAGAATCCACAACTAATAAGGAATGGAATAAGAAAATCCAATAAGGTACAAGTGCAGTTCTTTTTTAGTGCAAAAACATTTACTTTGAAGTTTGCAAATTTATCACACTATGAGAAAACCAGTGATCACACCCTTTCTGGTACTAAAAAAAATCCAAAATACTACTACAGCTAGAAGAGAATTTAATTTCGTTAAGCCCGATCATTTCCCACAAAGAATCAAAGTAAAATGTGCCATTTTCTTCTTAGTTGAAACTTGAAATAAAGAACTAACATTAGCAAAACCCTAAGACACTGTTCATGAAGGTAAATCCTACATCCTACCCGCTGGAACCACGATTGGGCACAAACTGAAAACCTCCTAACCCAAAAAATGGTGAATTTTGATCAAGATCCTTCATTTTGGAAAGTTGTACTCTATGAAGAGTACAAAAATACAACATCCTGTGATGAATATTAAAATAGTACTTGAGCTTAAGTCATGTGGCAATATCTTGAATTAGTAGAAACTACTGCAAGATGATGTCATTTTCTATTACAATAACACTCTGTTACTTGATCAAGTGTTCCTTCCCCTTCTTCAATAATCCTTCTTCATTGTTCTGGTTTTCCCACCCCTTTTTCATAATTCCAAAAATCCCAGGTTAATTGGTAACCCCAACCAAGATGGCTAAGGATACAAACTTGTGACGTTACAAGGTCACGAGTTCAAATCTCAACATTCAGCTATGGACAACCCAGACTCGTTTACCTTTTCGTGGTGCTTGCGTTGCAAGCAAAGGCCACTGAGGGTTCACGTGAGGCTCGTTTACCTTTTTGTGGTGCTTTGCAAGCTAAGGTCACAAGATGGGGTTTGCGGGAGGGTTTACCCAGTTCACGTGTCTGCGGTTTCCCTCGTCACCAAACAAATCCCAATGGATCATTGCCAACACAAACCGTGAAATGGACAGATGGCATATATTACATTATTATCTAGAAATGACAACTACACCATATAAATAGCAGAAAAACGATCAAAATCCTTATAAGAAAACGTACCGGAAGTCCAAAGATAACAACATTTTTGCCCTGAAAACAAAAATTAACAAACCAAATCAGAAACCCTAAATAGAAGAAGTGATGTGATATTCACAATATAGGCAGTAAAATAAAATTCCGCTAAAGAGAGGAGAGACCTTGAAGATGTCTTTGAGAGGGGTAGTGGAGAATTTGGAGGAAACACCTTCGTCCCAAGAGCGAGCTTTCTGGAGAGAGGCATTGGGTGCGGCCGAGATGAGGTCCGTACCCACTGCAACCGATGCGTATGACCTCAACCTGTTGACCATTGACTTCACCATCGTCGTCCGTTTCAGCATAGCCGTCGCCATGGTTAATGCTCTGCTTCGATCAACAGTTAATGGTGTGAACTATAGAGTATAGACTGTGATGTGGCGGCAGGAGGTGAATTTATCGTTGGATATGTGGGCTGTTTGACGGGCCTTGTTTGGCAAACCGCGGTAAGCTGTTAGCGGTTAGCGTTAGCAGATTGTGTTAGCGGTTAATAAATAGCGGATTATGTTAGCGAGTTTGATCAGCAGATTATATCAGTGATCTATAAAAAAATATTTAGTAAAATTAACGGTTTAGATTAGCGGTTAACATGTAAAATGATCAAAAGGGTATACATATAATATAATATATATAATATATAAAATATAATAATATAATAATAATATAATATATAATATATATATAATATATAATAATAATAATAATAATAATAATAATAATAATAATAATAATAAGAAAAAAAAAAGATGTACATCGAAAGTAAAACAAATAAAAGGGGCGTTGGCTCCCTTATAAATGGAGCTCAACGCCCCTTCAATTTAGGTGTTCTCTTGCCCATCCCACATCTGATGGTAAATTATTGTGTGGACTATAACAAAAAATACATTTTTAATACACTAAATATACATTATGTTTATACTAAATGTATATTAAACAATATAATGTATACTCAGAACACAAATAATGTACATTCCCTAAATATAATGTACATTATTTTTGTATTGAATGTAAATTATTTTTATACTGAATTTACATTATTTTACAATAAACAAAATATGATCCACATAACTTGTGTGGACCATGGTCCACACAATAATAATTGACATCGGATGGGTAAGAGTTGTGAAGCCTGAGTCTTCTTTATTTAATTAAAGAAGCCTCAGGCTTCTTATTCTTATATGTTAACGTTAATTTTTTTTTAATAAATAAATTAATAAATTGGAGGGTGTATTGGGAAAGTTTTCTTTTTCAAAACGCCATCTCAACACGTTGCTAATAGCAGCGTGTTGAAGTTCAGCAGGAGCAACATTTGCAGTTCAGCAGTTTGGCAGCAACAATTTACTCCAAACTGCTGAGTAACCAAACATGGTTTTTGGCGTTTTGACTTTAGTCAAAATGCCAAAATGGTGGATCCGTCATTAACCAAACAAGGCCATAATGTTAATACTGGAGCGTTATGTTGTGCAAGGCAAACAACGTGGTTTTGTAATATATATATATTTTTGGGAATTTTGCTTTTCCAGTGTTGATTGTTAATTTTGTTAAAAAAAAATCTCATGTTTAAAAAATGCACATAATTGTATAAGAAAATACACACAATTTTTTAAAAAAAAGATAATACACATAATCTAACATAATACATAATACACATAAACTCCTTGTTTCGGATGTACATAATTGTATAAAAAATGTACATAATTGTTCAAAAAATGTACATAATTATATAAACAAATGTACATAATTCTATACCATAATGTACATAATCACGTCAACTTCCTACACAACTTAACAAAATGATGTCGTTTTGGGAGGCGCGGGGCGCACAGTGCTGTGTGCGCCGTGGTGCAGGGTATAACGATTGGTTGTGCAACCGTGTGCACCATGCAAATGCACGCGGAATTAGATTCATAATTTCTATACTGTAGATTCATAATTTCTAAACTGTATAGTTATCAAATTATGAATATATAGTTCTGTGATTTGTGAATACTGAGTTCAACTATTGAGATTATGAACATTGAAAATTATGAACATATAGTTTTGTAAT